GGTAATGATGGAATTTATATAGAGAATCGACTATAGCAAGACATTCAAGTTCTGTAATTGCATAGTTTTTCTCATAGTCCCTTAATGAACGAGAATGAAAAGCTACAGGATGCAATACACCACATTCATCCGTCTGTTTTAGCACAGCTCCAATTCCAACTAACGATGCATCAACCAAAAGATGACATTCATGATTAGGGTTAAAAATTTTCAAAATTGGTTTACAAATAATAGCATTTTTTAAAAGTTCAAAAGATTGTTGACATTTTTCTGACCACACCCATTTTACATCTTTCTTTAACAAGTTATTTAAAGGATGTCGAATACTTGCATAACTATCAATAAATTTATTGTAAACATTTATTGATCCAAGAAATCTTTGCAATGATTTNTTTGCCCTGTACTAAAACAAGCTTCGATAACATCCATTTAGAAGTTGAAGAATATAAATTTGAGATTGTTGACAATTTTGTTTACTTGGATTTTTACTTGAATTCTGTAATCAACAACAGGAATAATATTACAATTTGGAAATACAAAGAATTACTATAGCTAATAAATGCTATAATGGAACTCGAAAATGCATAAAATCTAATGTAATTCATAGAGTAACAGAAATTTTATTATATGAATCTCTTTCAAGATCAATTTTAACATAGGCTTGTGAAACCTGGACCACATCTTGTACGTATGAGGCTATGTTGGGTACCCTGGGTATGTTGGGTTGCCTGGGTTGGGTATGTTGGGATGTAATATGACACGTGGCCCGATTTAAATACTATGGATCAGTATTAAGGGGAGATATACGGCCATGTAGTTATACAGTATATATTTACCTCGAATTTCCTCATTTTAACGCTATTCAATATAAACATACATGGCTCCCTAATAGTACTTTAATTATTTCCTCTGGTAGGGTATATTATTACGTTGTATAATACACAACCCAGTTTGAATATTAAGGGGAGATAAAGGGCCGATATTGTGCATGCTGCGGACATGACATTTTAAAGTTTGATTGCTCATAATTACACGCGCCGCCTCCATCTGCTAAGGCTATTTTAATGCTCTTTTAGTTTCGATATCACTTATATCGTATGAACATCCTTTGCCAATCATAAGTAAAAATTTCGTGAATAAAATTTACAGTTTTGAGATTGTGTACAAAATAAAAGGAAGATTTAAAACTTCTGTTTATTTATCACTAAAATATCTGAAGAAATGAGCAGCTCTTCACCATATCTTTTCGGCTAAAATATTATTTTATTCCACTTATTTTTAAGTTAAAATAATGCTCCATTACAACTAATTACTTAATTAAAATCAGTCGTAGATATAGTATAAGGGTAAATAGTAGACATTTAGATATACGATGTATCATTTTATTATTCGAATTGTATTAAAACAAATCAGTATTTTCATAAATCTAGTCCATTGTAAAATATCAATTCATCATCGTTACTTTCTATGTGATAATATTCAAAAATTCCAATAATATAATTAAAATTTGCTTTTTTTTAAATTTATTTTTGTTAGAGTTGAAGGACTTTCTTTTTAAGTAAATATTCACTAATGCAGTTTATATCTTCTTTTTTTTTACTATGTATTATATATTTAAATACACATTAACGCTTATTACACATTGTCAAAATGGGTGTTGTTTTGGGTTTGACGTCATCACACTTTTCAGCTGTGCTGTGATCAAGAGTAATAGTAAACAGTGCGCATGCGTTGCTATGGCGACCGCTGCTGTTTGATAATTTTTTAGAATTCTTTTTTTCACTTATAGTTTTGTTATGCATCAAGTTGATGAGTTTATTTTTGATACTAGAGAGATCTCATAAATACTTCGAGTTGTGAAAAAAAATTACAACAACCATTATGGCAATTGGTAACCTGTGATCGCCTTTCGGCGATCTCAATTTTGTTAATTTCTTTCTTTATTATTTTTTGAGTAAATAAGAATTTCGCTGCAGTTAGAAATTTTTATTTTTAAATTTTAATTCTTGTTTCTGCAATATAGTTTTTACAAAATATGGCTACTGTTAATGTCTCGCCTTAATTTTGCAAACTGTTTGTCAGTGCTTGCAATGAAGAATTCTAAAATAGTAAAATTAATACATTATTAACTAAAAAAATTTAATTAAAATAGTTGACAAAAAATCTCAGGTTAAGCATTCGGTATCGCCAAAAATGAATCAACACTTTCAAGAATCTAGTCCATTGAAATATATCTGTCCATCATCAGCTCCATAATCTACTTATAATAAAATTTCACTTAATGTTATTTAATTTATCCACATAATTTCAGCGAATATCATTTAAGCTAGACATTTTTGTTTCAATAAAGTTAAAGAATAATAATTAAAAATAAACGTATACAAAATGAAATAAATTCTAATGCACATTCTTCGTTATTTATTAGACAATTATTATAAAATAGACAGTAATGTTGATATTTTTTCTCAATGTTTTCACTCCTTGAGTAAATTGGAACTTTGCTATGGCGAAAAATTATTTTTATATGCATTTATAAAATTTAATTCTGTTTCTGTAATGTGGAACTAAAAAAATGCATATGCTCTGTTTCAAATAATCTTTTAACATAAATTAACACAATTAAAATAAAGTCAATAAAATCTAGTGGAACATATAAATTTATATATATTTAAAAAAAAAAACTGGGATTACAAATTTCTTAAAAGGCTACTGCTATGCTGGAGACATATTTGAATTCACACTGGAATAAATTAAAAAAAAATTAATAACTTAAGCTTTCCTACATTTTAAAAGCTAAAATTATTCTAAACAAAGAACAAAATCATTTATCTTCATAACACATCATTTTAAGAAGTAATACGAGACATACATTCTAAGACCTTTTTTACTGAACTAAAAAATCTTAAATATTCAGACCTAGAAAATTTCCTCAACTATAAACAATGTTTCAGTGGGAACCATTAAAATTGAACAATATATCAAACCCACGACATACCAAATAAAAATACGATATATCTAACCCACGTTTTCAATCAACTACATTAAGACACAATGTATTATACAGATAGTTATTGACCATCTGAAATAGTAGGATTTAATTACGAAAATACAAACGAAGGCAAGAACGTATTGATTTTTACAGTACAGCGATTGTAAATGAATGGCAGATAAGGAACGTGTTATGTCAGTTCGCGTATAATCACGTGACTCCCCTCCCCTTCAGGTGAAAACGAAAGTAAAAGTTTTTTGCTTCAAAATAACTCAGGGTGCGCAACCAAATTTTTCAACAAAAAATATGCACTTTTTAAGCACTTTAAAATATCATAATTAGGCTTAGTGGACAAGTTTTTGGCAATTGAAGACTTTATCCGTCATGTCAAAAAAAAAAACTTTTGACAATAGTCAAAAACCCAAAATTTTGGCGTCAGGATAATTATTACCTATTATAAATATGAAGTATTTTTAAATTATCAATTCAAAATCAACTGAATCCTGAATCTCTTGCAAAATGTGGCAGAGTTGCACATGAGAGGGTAAAAATCCTCATCATGCACATAATCCAGCTCTGCTCAGTACACGCACATGCGGACCCGCAAGTATTCATTTCATCAAACATGTAAAACGAATGGCGTTTTCATACGCTATGGCCACCATTTCACCGACAGCACGCCGAAGTAGATTTGGGGTGAATTAATTGTGAAAATATTGAATAGAACAATATCATTTTGCACAATTAGTTGCGAAAATAAATATGGTCAAGAAAAAGTATTTCATTTTGAAAAAGGAAAAATAAAGCATTATTTTTAAGAAAAAAAGCACCTTAAAGCCTTTTCAAAAACGCTACGCACCCTGTAACTTAATAAATGGCACTTCTAGGAAAGTAATAAAATGTTTTCTGATAGTTTTAAGGACTTGTGAATGCATTAAGATTTTAAAAATAATTGACTTTAACAGGGTGCGTAGCAACGGCTCTGGCTTTTTCTTCTTCTTCTTTTTTAACAATTAAAAAGATACAGAAAAACAATTTTGTTATAAAATGTTTTTAAAATATTTTTATTCAAAAACAAATAATTAAGTAATTGTTGATACATAACAATTAAAAATTGTTTCATCAAACAGGAATTGTAATTGTCTTGTTTGCTGTTCAAATCTGTTAATAACTTTTTCAATGAATTCTGAGTCATCTTTGATTCTTTTCTTATGCACAAACTACATTATCTCTCGTAAGACATTGCAGACCGATTCCATGTTTTGCTGCGTCGCATTGTACTAAAAGTGCATTCAATAGTGCACGTAGTAGCTGGAAGAGTTAGGCCAATTTTGATTACCTCCTCTACAGCTGGATAAAACGGTGTATTCGAGGGATTCATAAGAGTTTTCTCTATTCCTCCACATTCCGTACCACGTTGTAGTTTCAGTGATGAAATTTGGTGAGAGCAGATTTTATGCATAGTATATATATCTTCTAAAACAGGGGTTTCCAACTTACATGAGGCCGGGGGCCTCAATTAAAAACACAAATCAAATGGCGGGCCGCAACTTTGTCGAAATTTTATGTAGCATTCTCATGTTTGAAGAAACATTAAATATTACTGTCAGATTTTTACCAAGTTGTTCTAAACAAAAGTATTGAATTAAAAATTGAGGCCTAAATACATTATGCTTGAATGGTGAAAACGTTGAAAAGAACAATGTGAAAACCACGCTTTTGCATAATACATAGCGAAAATTGACATTGTAAAGAAAGAAAAAACCTTATTTCCGAAAAGGGGAAATTGTTTTTTAAAAACATCTAATAAAAAAAGCACCTTTAAGGGCTTCTAAAAAAAGAAAATAAGCACCTTAAAGCACTTTTTAAAACACTACTCACCATGTTTAATTTTTCATTATTTTTATCACCGATATGTCCCTTTCGTTGCAGCAATATAACTTAGATGAAGAGGCAAGTGCCGAAAGGCCTCTATCGACACCCTCTCACATTAAAGTAATAAGAGACAAAATGGTTAATTATTAGCATTTATTAAAGAAATTCAATACACTTGTGCAGGGGATGGACAAAAATATGGTAATACTTTTATACTAACTCTACGTAAACAATCTTTCTTATAGCAGCGAATGTTTCTGAAGATTTTATATGGTTCAACGGCTGGCACAATTTAAAAGATTGCGTTTAAAGCTTTTAGAAATGGTGTCCTTTTTACCCATGCAAAATTTACAACCACCGAAATAAGCGTAAATTAGCGAATTAAAAGCTCTTTTCCTATTTTAAATACCACTAAAATTTGAAAAATATGTATAAATAATTTTCTCCCTATCCCGGATTCTTCATTTTTATTTACAACTTATTAGTGTATTTAATTATGTTAACTTACTAACGTAATCTTCTCAAATACTTTCCTTATTTCTATTATATTTCGAGGAAAGAGCAGATAGCCCCCATGCTAGGTACTCCGAACAAAGAATCTAAATGGGCAATTATCCTTTTAAATATATAAAAAGATACCATTTCTAAAAGCTTAAAGCATAATCTTTCAAACCGTGCCAAGAGCTTTGCCATGTAAAAGCTTCCGAGACATTTTCTGCTAAACGAAAGGTATTTTCATAGAGTTAGAGTAAAGCTAGTATTGAGTTAGAGTTTTCACACAGTTAGAATGTTTCCACAATTTTGTCCAACCCCTGAATATACTGTAAAAATCTAATATAATTGTATTGTAAAACAAATGCTTCTCGTCTAACATGTAGTAATATTTTGTGTTCTTTCATTCAACGTTATGATTACCGAGTGTGTCATCCATCATGTGATGCTTCTCTGCAAATGAATAACTGTAAATGGGTTTGGAACTTTCCACTTTCTTTAAGGTTTGATCAGGATCACAGTGTCCAGGCGCTATAAACACATTAAATTTAAAAGTTTTGAGATGTGAAAGTGTGCACAAGCAACTGATTTTAAAAGTGCTTTAAAAAGGAAATGACATAAAGTGATTAATTCGCGTCAGGGAGAATATTAGTGAGCATCAGTGCAAAAATATTTCGGGTATATTATCAGGGATGCTAACTGCTCCGCTTTCTGCTAAAGTTTTGATAAATTGATAGTAAATTATATAGTAAAACTTATAGAATAAGAATGATCAGAGTCTTTCAATTATATTAATACCTAAAATAAACTTCAATTATATTAATACCAAAATATCAGTAGAGCGCAAAATCCGTCAGTTTTATTTTAGCTTCTTTATTAATCTATTGCATGAACACAAAAAATTCCATATTTCGTAAATCCATGGTTTTTTAGTGCGGAATTCAGCTAAATTTTCGCAACTACCAATTTAGCCAATCAAATGCCAGCTATTTTACATATAGCAAAATGCGATATGGTTACAAAAGTCCAGGCTTCTGATTGACTTAATTGAGCCATTGTATTTGCGAAAATTCAGCTGAATTCTGCACTAATGTCAGCAAGAATATGAATTTTTCGCAGCTAGATGACAAAGTTAACGATCATTTGGCATGATGAAAAAGAATTGTCGAATCAATAAAATGGACAGAACGATATTTCGTCTGACCATTGGAAGGGGGGGGGAACTTAATAGCTATTTTAGGTTCTAGTCAATTTTCTTGTTGCCTATGTATAATGAGGTAAAAAAAATTAAATACTTAAATAAAGTGCGGTTCCTCATTACTGTAGCAGACGGAGGGCCCTAAAGAAGTTTTACCCTTGGCTCCAATTAGGCTAAGTCGGGCCCTGAGGACGCCATTCTTTAAAAGATTTCTCACGAGATACACTGCACCTAGTTAGAATTGTTCTAGTAAATCAGTACCAGCCCTTGTTGGCTCTCTCTGACTCATTAGATCAGACATCACTCAGAAAGATAAGACGACTACATGATAACAGATGACTAGGAACTGGATACATGACTAGGCATTTAGTCTAGTATTTGGACGGCACAAACATTAATATAGAAGAAAAAGACAATGACAATATATGTTTACGACGGAGGATCCACTTTCTGCGTGGCTGTCCGCAGCTTTTGGTGGGTTGCTTCCCGGTTAGTTTGGCCAAAAATGATTTAAGAATTTTGTTAAATGAAAAGTGCTTGTAGTTGCGATGAAAAAATGGCAGTTTTTTAAAAGGATTGGAAATAAATTTTTAACTATACCGGGGGTTGCATGAACTTTAGAAGGTGAACCGAATGTGTAGCTTGGGTTCACATTTTGCTGACTCTTATAGACAGAATCTTCGTTATAATCAGAAGCTGAAATATTAGAAAATATATGTTTCATAAGACTTACTCTCAATATTAACAATATTTCAAATTAAACTTTGCATTCAAGAAACTGATGGTTCTCAATTACTATTGTAATGAATATAATAATTACCAATTGTTAAAATTTCTTAGTAGTTAATATTATTTAATAAATTCAGTTTCATGCATTCGTTCGTTCAGTTTTTTAATAAGAATTAAATCTTTAGCTATACCGGGGGTTGCATCAACTTCAGAAGATGAACCAAATGTGTAGCTTGGGTTCACATTTTGCTGACTCTTATAGACAGAATCTTCGTTATAATCAGAAGCTGAAACATTAGAAAATATGTTTCATAAGACTTACTCTAAATATTAACAATATTTCAAATTAAACTTTGCATTCAAGAAACTGATAGTTCTCAATTACTATTGTTATGAATATAATAATTACCAATTGTTAAAATTTCTTAGTAGTTAATATTATTTAATAAATTCAGTTTCATGCATTCGTTCGTTCAGGTTTTTTAATAAGAATTAAATCTTTAGCTATACCGGGGGTTGCATCAACTTTAGAAGATGAACCAAATGTGTAGCTTGGGTTCACATTTTGCTGACTCTTATAGACAGAATCTTCGTTATAATCAGAAGCTGAAATATTAGAAAATATATGTTTCATAAGACTTACTCTCAATATTAACAATATTTCAAATTAAACTTTGCATTCAAGAAACTGATGGTTCTCAATTACTATTGTAATGCATATAATAATTACCAATTGTTAAAATTTCTTAGTTGTTAATATTATTTAATAAATTCAGTTTCATGCATTCGTTCATTCAGTTTTTAATAAAAAATAAATCTTTAGTGATACCGGGGGTTGTATCAATTTTTGGAAGTGAACGTCTGTGTCCGAATGTGTAGCCTGGATTCATATCTTGCCGATCCTCATGGGCAGAATCTGTATCGTAATAACCATGAGCTGAAATATTTGAAAATATGATATTTTTAATAAATCTCACTCTCAATATTAACAATATTTCAGATTAAACTTTGCATTCAAGACACTGATGATTCTATTATAATGCATATAATAATTACCAATTTAACTGTTAAAATTTCTTGGTGTTAATATTATTTAATAAATTTAGTTTCAAGTCAGCACACTACCCTGAATTTGTGCAAGTAGCAAGAATTTAAAAAACCTTGTTACGTTTATTTACTAATCTTCTCATCCCGCTCTTTCCTTAATTCTATTATATTTCGATGAAGGAGCCTTGGGATAGGTACTCCATACCCAGAATTCAAATTGGCATTTATTCTTTTAAATATTTCCTACAGTATGAATTCAAAATTTGTTGAAGTTGGAAAGAAGTTATTAACTTCCTCTTCTCAATTGGGTAAAAAGATAACATTTCTAAAAGCTTAAAGCAAGATCTCTCAAACTGTGTCAAGAGCTTTGCAATGTAAAAGCTTCCAAGACATTTACTGTTAAGTGAAAGTTATTTTCATTAAGTTAGTATAGAGTTAGAGTAGAGTTAGTATCGAATTAGAGTAGAGTTAGTATCGAATTAGAGTAGAGTTAGTATAGAGTTTTCATAGAGTTAGAATGTTTGCACAATTTTGTCCAACCCCTGAATATACTGTAAATCTAATATAATTGTAATGCAAAACAAATGCTTCTATTCTAACATGCAATTATATTTTGTGTTCTTTCATTAGACATTTTGATTACCCAGTGTGCCATCCATCACGTAATGCTTCTCTCCAAATGAATAACTGTGACTGTGCTTTGAACTTTCCACTTTCGGTAAGGTTTGATCAGGATCACAGTGTCCAGGCGCTATAAACACATTATTAAATGTAAAAAGTTTTGAAATGTAAAAGTATGCATAAGTAATGGATTTTAAAAGTGCTTTAAAAAGGAAAGGACATAAAGCGATACACAAGTGATTAATTCGTGTCAGGGAGAATATTAGTGAGTATCAGAGCAAAAATATTTTAGGGGTATATATTATGAGGGATGCTAACTGCTCCGTTTTGTGCTAAAGTGTTTATAAATTGGTAGCTAATTATTTTGTAAAACTTATAGAATAAGGATGATTACACCCACTTTTTAAAAGATTTCTCATGAGATAGCTGCATCTAGTTAGAATTGTTCTGGTAACTCAGTACCAGCCCTGGTGAGCTAACACTGATTCATTAGATCTGATATCAGTCAAAAAGATAAGATGACTAGGTGCATTATACGTGACCTAGTACAAGACATGAAACATGATGATGGATGACTAGGTACTAGATACATGTCTAGGCATATAGTCTAGTATTTAGACGGCACAAACACTTTAGGGGAAAAAATGGCAATATGTGTGCACGGCGGTGGATTCACCTTCTCCATGGCTGTCTGTAGCTTCTGGGGGTTGCTTCCCAGTTACAACAGTCAGATTTATATGAATGGCATATCTGCCATTTTTCACTCCTTCCGAGAATGAATTTTCAGAGTGGTTGTAATACAATAAACGAAAAACAATCTGACTCAAAAATATATTTATATTTTGATCCTGTTGAAATTCGCTTGTGCAAGGATTATGCTTTTATATATTTATTGTAATTATTTATATGTAGTGGTGGTCAAACTCATTTGTAATTATCATTATAATTCAAAAATTTCATTGGAATTACATGAGTATTGCTACCACTTTAAATATGAAAATAAAATCTTCCGGAAAATCCGGAAGAGTTGGCAGGTATGGAATGGTAATAAAATGGAAAAAAAAGCAGAGGTGGGCAAAATAATTTTTAATGAAATTAACTAAAAGAAGAATTATACATCAATATACTACTTTTGCTACCTCAAAAAAAAAAATTCTGATTATAAAGAGAAGCATCCCAATTTACGTATGAAAGTTTTCTTTCTTTTGTTTTTAGTTGCCGATTTTTCCAAGTTACCGATTACTCCATTTCCAAAGCTGTATTGGTTAAATTTGTGTATAAATTCTTCAGCAAAGATGTGCAACTATACTGTGTTGCAAGTTAATAAAAAACAATATTACCATTATCTCCATTGAGAAAGCCTGTGTGTATATAAGTGCACACCAAATTGATGCTAAACGCTAACTCTCATTTATCAAAACTGATGAAAAAAATTAAATATTGTTTCTTGTAGACGATTTTCTTTTAGAGCAAAACAAAATAAAAAAATTTTTGTCTCACACTTCATTTGTCAAGGGCATGTCAGTATAAGATGTGCCTTTTGCTTTTCAGTATGTAAACAAAAGTTTTTATTTGATGTAAAGGATACTTACCCCTTTCTTAGGTTCTTTTGACACCAGGGTCTGTAAAAGATTTCTTAACAAAATAAACGATCTGGAAAAACATAGCTATATATTTATTAACACAAGTAAATTAGGGGAAAAAAAGATATGCCACTAGAAGACAACTGACATGCTGCCTTTTTTAAGTGTGTGAAGACAACAACTCCTAACGTGCATGCGTTAGGAAAGTTCTGTTTTGGACGGGTGCATTTCCGACATTGCTCCCACCTTGCATACTTTAAAAAAATATAAAGGAAAGTGCACAACCAAAGTCACATTAGTGTATAAAGTCACAGTTCGAGTCTCTGAACAGGTTTTAAGAGTGACATCAAAATATCTAATTTATTGTAATTAATAGGTTTCGTATTCAACGCTACCTCTACGCTGTTAGCAGCTTTTGTGAAACCGCTTCTCAGTGGCATTCTAACTGTAGTTAATTCAGTTTTATCTAGTGATTCCATTATTAAGAACACTTCAATTTCATTTATTAATAGTTTCAATTATTTTAAATCTTATACAGTTTTAATGACCAGGCATTCCTGTTTAGGCGCCAATAATTTTGCTTTTCGATATATAAACAAAAGTTTTTATTTGATGTAAAGGGTACTTACAACAACTCCTAACGCGCATGCGTTAGGAAAGTTCTGTTTTGGGCGGTTGCATTTCCGACAGTGCCAACTTTTATAAGAGGCATTTAAGATTCCAGTATAAACACAAAATTATAACCTATTTTTCTTTTTCTAATAATTTTATGATTAATAAATGGGATGAATTATCTGATGTGTTTCACTTATTAAAGCTTTTATATTGTTTTTGAGCATCATTGTATAATTTTTTAACGAAATAAAATAGAACTGTATGCAGTCGTGCAAGATTACTCAAGTCCCAGACCGCAATGGTCTTTTCTTAACTTGCAACAGAGTATAGGCTTTTTAGAAGAACTAAACATTGCGCATAGGCAGCGTCAGCCGAGAATGATATAAGCATGGTGCCACAGTGTTATTCTCATTCATACTTAGTGCGCAAGGTACAAGATTCTAATAGATACAGCAAAAAATCATTTTTAAATAAGAAATGTTAATTTGAGAATAAACAAATTTGGCCAAAAATGATTGTCATTTCAGAATTTTGTTTAATGAAAAGTGCTTGTGTAACATGGAGTTGTGATAAAAAATATCAGTCTTTAATAGGAAATAAATCTTTAGCTATACCAGGAATTGTATCAATTTTTGGAAGTGAGCGTCTATGTCCGAATGTGTAGCCTGGTTTCATATCTTGCCGATCCTTATGGGCAGAATCTGTATCGTAATGACCACTAGCTGAAATATTTGAAAATATAATATTTTTCATAAGACTCACTCTCAATATTAACAATATTTCAGATTTAACTTTGCATTCAGATTTAACTTTGCAAGAAACTGATGATTCTCAATTACTATTGTAATACATTTAATAATTACCAATTTAATTGTTAAAATTTCTTAGTTTTAACATTATTTAATAAATTCAGTTTCACGGATTCTTTGCTCAGTTTTTAATAGGAAATAAATCTTTAGCTATACCACGGGTTGTTTCAATTTTTGGAGGTGAACGTCTATGTCCGAATGTGTAGCCTGGATTCACATCTTGCCGATCCTTATGGGCAGAGTCTGTATCGTAATGACCACTAGCTGAAATATTTTAAAATATAATATTTTTCATAAGACTCACTCTCAATATTAACAATATTTCAGATTTAACTTTGCATTCAAGAAACTGATGATTCTCAATTACTATTGTAATGCATATAATAATTACCAATTTAATTGTTAAAATTTCTTAGTTGTTAATATTATTTAATAAATTCAGTTCCACGCATTCTTGCGTTCAGTTTCTTAGAGGAATTAAATCTTTAGCTATACCGGGGGTTGTATCAATTTTTGGAGGTGAACGTCTATGTCCAAATGTGTAGCCTGGCTTCATATCTTGCTGATCCTCACGGGCAGAATCTGTATCGTAGTAACCATGAGCTGAAATATTTGAAAATATAATATTTTTCATAAGACTCACACTCAATATTAACAATATTTCAGATTAAACTTCGCATTCAAGATACTGGTGATTCTCAATTACTATTGTAATGCATCCAATAATTACCAATTTTATTGTTAAAATTTCTTAGCGTTAATGTTATTAAATAACAACTTAAATTCATGTCAGCATGCTAACCTCCCATCTTTGAATATTAGAGCTAATATTATATAAGATTAAATATTATTCAATCTAACATTCGATCTTTTAAAATTATCATCTATTTCATTACTTTTGAAAGAGAACAATAAATTAAATATTAATTAAAATATCCTTATTAGCCAACGCAATTTTATGCCAGAAAATGCAAAGAAATATTAGTAGAAGTAAACTGTGTTCGCGAACGATATAAAACTGGAAAACTTCTACAACTGCCGAGTTGTAATTTCTTCAAGATTGTTTACATCTTGTCCATCAAGGATAACATTCGTCATATTGTTCGTGGTCAGTAGCTTGAATGAATTTTTCAACTTTAAAGGTATTTATAACTGAGTAATTTTTTTAGTAAACTTTATAAATTTCAATGACAGATACATAAAATCTTAAAGTAGTGTTTTTCCTTTAGTTAAAAATCAGTTAGGAAAGTAAAGTACATCAATGCATAATATGTTAGAGAGGATGATTATATAGAAACATTCAGTGTATTTAATAATCTTGACTGTTTAATCAAAACATTTAGGAATTAATTTATTGATCGTGTATCAAATTAAGTCAGAAAATATTATGATCATGCTCATTCTTGACAATGAGTAGTTTACGCGTAGTAGTTTACTACTCTGTTAAAACGCATTGTTTAACTATAAATAATAAGTATTTTAGTTAGTATAGAATAGGCTCTGTAAAAGCAATGTTTACTTAGTCATTCGCATCTGACAGAATTTCTCTGCAACAATGATAAAGATAAAAAATAATTTTCAGTAAACAAGCTTGATATGTTAAAATAATTATTAATTGATTTTCTTAAAACCATCACATTTTAGAATGTTTGAAATTTTATTCCTAAGACAAAAATTGTTACTTTATTAAAATTTCCTGCTTGAAATATTGAAAAATAATGAGTTAAACATCTTTATTTTCATTTCTTGAATATAGACTGATTTGCATGTTTTTGATGCATCATTATTTATATCAATTTGTAAATGATAGCAAATGATTAAAGAATTAGATTTAGATGTAAAAGAAAATAACACAGTTACAGAGACAAGAAATAAAATTTTAAAGCAAGGAAAATATGATAAATCTATAACTAAACAAATAGTTAATAGAATTTTGGAAGAAAAACGGGAAAAAAACAGAATTACAACTTTTAAGAGAAAAGGTTCTATATCTAGAAAATAATGAAAAGGGAATATCATAATTAGATAACATATTAAAAGCTGGTTTAATTATTTTGGCAGATGAGTTAGGAATAAGTGATACTGAACCAGTTTCTGAAATCAGGAAAAAAATAACCCCATATTTTTGAGGAAATTGTAAATCATATCTTTGAAGAAAAGAAATAAATGCAAGAACTACAAATATTAAAAGCTAGAAATCAAGAATTTGAACTTTTTAAAATAAGTTTTAAAGTAATGATAAAGAAAAATGCTCAAGTGTAACTTCATCTAGTGTAAACATTTCCTTAATGAAATTGTCCCAACCGCTTGAACCCCAAAAAGATGAGATATTTTCGTATTTAAAAAATTTCAAAAATAAGGCAAAATTAGCCAATATTCCCGAAACTGATATGTTATATATTGTTACGAATATGTTATTCATTTATTGAATCTGTTACCCCATGATATTGTTAACCAACTTACACAGGGACAGGGTGAATTAGCTCATGATTATTGACATATTAAACTGTAGGTATTAACTTAATCCAGAAAAGATTTAAATTCTTTTAAACACATAAAAGATCTCAGGATTATTGGTGCGATTTTTGCAATGAAATATCTGCTTACTTTTATGATTGGTTAGCTGAGCTGAAGATAGAATCATTTGAACAATTGAAAAAATTAATTACTGCAAACCAAATTAAAACTAGAGCACCAAATGAAGTTAAACAACATTTTCTTGATACATGGAATTCTATGAACAGTTCTATAAGTTTGGCAGAAAAACTAGATAAATTTGAACCTTAGAGAATCGCAATAAATTAACAGACCAGTACTAAACCGAAAGAATTTTCTCCTACTTTACGGAAATGCATTGCATATAACGCATCACAAGTAAAAAGAAATGTTACAAATAATTGCCAGAGTGGTCCGGGACAGTTCCGATATCAGACTGATCAACAGCATTATATAGGACGAAATTACAATTACCCACATAAAGCTGATTACAATAAAAAAAGCAGTCATTCTAAATATAATATTGATGAAAAGAAAAGACCAACTGAACTCACCCTGACAAATCTTCCCAAAACAAATATGAGAAAAAAGGAGAAAATGTTTCTGATAATTCTTCTCAAAACAAATGTGACAAAAAGGTTGAGAAAGGCATTTATAAACATCAGTATAAACAATGACAACTATTATTTAAAAATATTTTTGTGATATGGCTATGTCTGGAAGTGATGGCTCAAAAATTGAAATTCCGGGACTTTGTGATACTGGAGGAACAATATCAATTGTTCCATCAAAATTCTTAAAAAATATTAGCCATAGAAAAATTGTAGAAAAACATAAGGCGCCATTACAACAAACTCAAGGCACAATTCATAATTTTTTACAAAATTGAAGTAGATGTTTGTATTGGTAACTTAGTAAATAAAATCAAAATGTACAGTATTAATATGAATTAAGATAATTGTTTGCTATCACTACTTTTTTAATGTTAGAATAGGTTTTGATAAAAGAATTATTGTTCAAGGTGAAAATGAGGTAAAATGCTCTAAAAATATTGCAACTCACTCAAAATGTTTGTGTCTTACTGTAGTTAAAGAAGGTCTTCGCTCATCACTAACATTTCAAATCACTTGAATCTGTGGATTTACTTTACTCACCACAGGAAATAGAAGATAAGACATTGTTTTCATTAAAAGAAAAGTATTATGTATGTATATATGTTAGACCTGAAGTATAAGTATATATATTAGACCTATTGCGGTGCACTTTTTCAACTATATGACATAATCAAGACTTGGAATTTATAGATTAAATTCATCCATTATTACACCCAGCCTTAAAGAATAAGCAAAAAGAAAAACGATATCCTCTCCTAAATGAATTCTTTTGTCATTTCAATATAATTTATCTACCACAAAATCAACCTCTCTAAGCTGATTTTGCTCGTAAGTCAGATTTTTATCAACCTCAAAACAACTTAAAGTGTGAATAAAACAACTTCATAGATCTTGGGAGGTTGATTCCTTTAAGGTTGGTTTTGATGTCAACTTCTAATAAACCTCAAAACAATTTCAAATAAATCTCAAAAACACCTTAAATTTTTGTAACGGAAAATATGTGGCGCAACTGTCACTATAAATATTAAATACCATTATACAGTACANATGTCAACTTCTAATAAACCTCAAAACAATTTCAAATAAATCTCAAAAACACCTTAAATTTTTGTAACGGAAAATATGTGGCGCAACTGTCACTATAAATATTAAATACCAATATATATAAGATAGGTTAACTTGATTCAATCTTGAGGTCCTTTTTGAAAGATAAAGGTTGACATAGTAGATAGATAAATACCCTCAATGGTGACCTGCGGACGTTATATGAACTTAAAAGTGCCAACGTCTATGAATGGTATACATAAATCAGTTGATTGGTTAAAAAATAGCGCTCAAAAAAATACGAAGAAAAAAAAATTTGATGAAGTAAATAAAAGTCCCCCAGTTCAAAAACTGAAGGAAAAATATGAATGAAATGATATAAAAAAAAATAATAGAAAGAGCAAAATGATGTAATTAATTGTAAAAAGAAAACAGCATTAATCAACTAGTGGTATTCGTTCATCAAATTCTCTCACAATTAAAATTCTGGAAGGGGAGTAATGTGGCGTAACTACCACTATAAATATTAAATACCAATATATAAGATTTGTTAACTTGATTATAGCGTAAGGTACCATTGGATAGATGAAGGTTGACATAGTCGATAAATAAATCACCTCAAATACACAAATTTAAAGGTTTTAAAGTAAGAGCTTCTCACTAAAAAATATAAACGATAAGGAGACATTACATATTATTACCCATTATAGCTATTGCTCGATATAAAGTAAAATATATATTTATTGAAAAAAAAAACTGTGTGCAATAAAATAAATTTACAAAAAAAACTAATGAATGCAATAAGATTTAAATCAAAAAATTTGTAACATACCAGGACAGTAGTCACGCTTTGGATCTTTGAGCTTCTGTCCAGAACTATATTTAGGTGATGAATAATGAACCGTTTTCACAGTTTTTTCTGCGTCATATCGGCCTGGCGATGAATAAGAAAGAAGATAATTTTTACACTATAAGGTATAATATCTTAATTCTATACATCAAGTTATGACAGGAGTTGGTAATAAACTACACTCCAAAGTAAGGTGTTAAAGATGTGTTTGTTAATAAATGTTATAAAGATAATTAGCATACTTTTAAAAAATTGACTTATCTTCATTCTGTCCCAATCCCTACAATTCTTGAAAACCGCCTGACTTTTTAGGTCTTTTTGACAGTGTGCACCTTGCCTATACTCCCCAGTTAGAAAAATAAAGTTTATTTTAACTCAGCAAAAACCTTTTAATGTAAACCTAAAAAGGTTTGCTATGCGGTTTTCGTGTAAAACTTCTAATCTTAAAATGAGACTTGTGACAATCTGCTCTATTCTACGCACCTAATTCAAAACCTTGGAAAACAACCTTCTATGTAAAAACCTTAAATTGAGGTTGACTTAAGGTTTTCAAGCGTGAAAAAGATCCTTTAATGAAGCTAGTCTCAATGTGAAATTAATCTTAAATCTAGGTCATTATAAGGTTTCTTTTCGCAAAGTCTTGTATGCTCGGTTAAAATCCACGTTGTCATCAAATTTTAATGGACAATGCAATTTGATCCTATCGCTAGTGTGACGTCATCTAAAACCTCATTATGAACCTAAGTGACTATTTTATCTAAGTGACAATCATATATGGCAGTACTTTTACTTTCGTTACTTGTACCGCCGGTACAAGTAAAAAGTACGGAATTATATTTTTGTAGTGG